AACCATTCAATGGTTTTCCATTGTCCTTAGGATAAAATCACAGATCCTTAACAATCTCAAGACCTTGCAAACCTTGCCAGGAGCCAGCCTCACCCTTCTGAGTTCATAGAAAGAGCCAAGCTGCTTACTAGGCTCTTACCAGTAAATTGCACACAATTTACTCTATGACCTAGGCTGTCTCATCTCTTTCAGTTTCATCTTCTTTAGTTATCAGACTTAACATTCTTTCTCTAGATAGTCCTATTTTGACTTCCTATATGAGGTCAAATGTGCCTTATTAAACACTTTCTTGGGAGCCCCCAGTTTGTTTTGTAACTAAATGATCATTTGTATAACACATATTTTAATCTCCCCTTCTTATTTTAATGCAAACTCCCTGAGAAAGAGTTGGAACCACACTCCAGTATACAAAAATAATTCAGATGAAGAGGCAACCGACAGAATGGGAAAAATATTTGCAAATTATGCAAATGATAAGGAATTAATAAGCAGAATCTACAAAGAGATCAAGAAACTCCACCACAACAAAACAAACAACCCTCTCAAGAGGTGGACTCTCAAGAGATGGGCCAAGGTCCTAAACAGACATTTTTCAAAAGAGGAAATCCAAACGGCCAACAGACACATGAAAATACGTTCAGGATCACTAGCCATCAGGGAAATGCTAATCAAAACCACCATGAGGTTTCACCTCACCTGTTAGAATGACTTTCATACAGAAATCAACAAACAACAGATGCTGGCGAGGATATGGAGAAAAAGGCACACTAACACTAATCCACTGTTGGTGGGAATGCAAACTCGTAAAGCCACTATGGAAGACAGTTTGGAGATACCTCAGAAATTTGAATATAGCCCTACCATATGACCCAGCCATCCCGCTCCTTGAATTTATCCAAGGGAAATTAAATTGGCAAACAAAAGAGCTATCTGCACCTCAGTGTTTATTGCAGCTCAATTCACAATAGCTAAGACATGGAATCAACCTAAATGCCTGCCAACGGAAGACTGGATAAAAAAATTATGGGATATGTACTCTATGGAATACTACACAGCAGTAAAAAAAATGAAATCCAGTCATTAGCAACATAATGGAGAAATATGGAAAACATCATTCTGAGTGAAATAAGCCAGTCTCAAAGGAACAAATATCATATGTTCTCCCTGATCGGTGACAACTAACTGAGCATCTAAAGGAAACCTGTAGAAGTGAAATTGACACTATGAGAAGCAATGACTTGATCAGCCCTTGACTTGACTGTCGAGGAAGAGCTTACTATTTTATTCTTTTTAGTATTTTCTTTTTCTATTTAATACCATTGGTTGAACTCTTTATTAAACACAGAATTATTCTCAGTTGTTTAAACCCAATTGAAAATTGATCCCTGTTAAAAATAAGAATGGGAATAAGAGAGGGAGGAGTTGTACAGTTGATCACATTCCCTCGGACTTACCCCTAAGAGTAGAGCTAAAAACTTACCATGGGATTCGAAATCCCATTAAGTTAGCAGGTACCAATGCCATCTTACTAGTTAAAGTGATCAGTTTAAGTTCATAACTGATCATAAAGATAGGATTAAGAGTCAAGGGGATCACATACATAAGACCAAGTGTCTGCTAATATCAACTCATAGAATTAAAAAGGAGAGAATGGTCCAACATGGGAAGCAGGACACACAGCAGACTCATACAACGACTAATGCCCTAACAGCACTCTGGCCTCAGAATCAGCCCTTAAGGCACTCAGATCTGGCTTAAAAGTCCATGAGAGCAGTTCAGGCATGGAAAGCCAAGACACTGTGACAAAAAATGACCTACATGAAAGATCTCTGTGAGTGAATGGAAAGAAAGGGCCTTCAAAAAAGGAGGTACCTTTCTCTGAAGGGAGGAGAGAATTTCCACTTTGATTATGGCCTTGTCTCAATAATGTCAGAGGCTGTAGACTCAAGAGGCTTCCATAGTCTTGGCAGCTCATGACAAGAGCCTTGGGTGATTACTGACTTCATAAATAAGAGTGTCAATTATTAAATCAACAACAGGATTCACTGTGCACTTGCTCCCCATATAAGACCTATGTCCTTAATGAGTTGTACTATGATAATTAATGGTAAAACTAGTCTTCAAACAGTACTTTATACTTTGTGTGTCCGTGTGGGTGCAAACTTTTGAAATCTTTACTTACTATAGAGTTGATCTTTGTATATAAAGATAATAAAAATGAATTTTAATGAAGAACGGGATGGGAGAGGGATTAGGAGGTGGGATGGTTTGGGGATGGGAGAGCATATATGGGGGGAAGAACCGCTATATTCCTAAAACTGTACCTATGAAATTTATATTTATTAAATAAAAGCTCTCTAGAAAAAAATTCAGAAATCCTGGAGTTCAGCTTCATCTGATTCTACATGCATGCCCACAACTACCACTTGTACATGTATCTACTCATTCTGGAAAATGGCTTTTTGCCTCTTAATTTTATGAAGGCCAAGTGTGGACGCGTGGGAAACCATTGTTTAACTAAAGAACTGTAAGACTGCTGAGTGTATTCTAGAGCAATAACGTTCCGCTGGTAGTGAAGGCCTTTGTGCATGTTCCTGCGAGTAGCAGATAGCACAGCTTTGCCTCTGGTGGGCAGTTTAGACAGGACTAGTTGGGCTGGACTCCAGCTCTTCCGTTGTATAATCTCTACATACCTAAATAGGGGTGACACTAATCACCTAACAGAATTCCAATAGTACTCAATCAATAGTTAACGGATATTTCCTATGCCCAGGTCTTGGTTTAATGCTGCAGATAACAAACGCAATTTAGGATGTAAAGGGTTTAGCAGAGTGCCTAACTCATTTAATGTTATACATGGTCACCATTACTAGTATTGCCATACTTGTGTATCGCCGTTTGCAGAAACGAGTTTGTCACCACCCGGGTGTATTACCACGCGGCGCGGCTGCTCCCCCACTCAGGACCATGAGAGGGCGCACGAACTCTACCGCTCGCCCACTACCTCTGCGTCTGCGCCTGCGCCACAGAACGTGCCTGGCTTACGCTGAGGTCTCCCTGACGTCAGCCCCTGCTGGCGCCACAAGGCTCCACCTCCGTTGCCCCTAGCGTCTGTTTGTTGACTTCCGGCTGCGCAGTACTTACCTATGTCAGAAAAGTCATTATGGGGGAGTCAGAGTAATGCGCCGCGCACTTCAGTAATGAGGCGCCGGGGCTGCCCTAGACTTCATCGGGTGGCCCCTATAGTCTTCGTGGCCGAAGAGAAACCTCAGCGCCTGGCCCTGAGAATGGGAGAGCCTGAAGGTCTGGTGCCGGGTCAGTCGCTCACGCAGGAGCGCCTGCGGCCATTGGGGGAGGGTCCGCGGGCGGGCGGGAGCGCGAACAGGCTCCGCCTGTGGGCCGGCCCTGTGGGGACTCAGGCCGGAGCTTTGGCGGCCTGACTGGGGCTGAAACTGCGGCCCCGTCGCCGCTAGTGCCTGAGGGGCGAGGACGGGTCGGGAAAGGGGGTGAGGGGGACTAGGTGCCCGCCTTACCCTTCAGATAAGCTTTCGGTTGCTTTCTCGAAGGCAGGGACTCGTTTTACTTTGCAAAGTACCTGCTTCTCACACGCGATTCGGTGAGAGGTCCCCCAGGACCCAGCGAGGGTAAAGAGTGGGTGGCCGCGGAGGTAGGGTCAAAGGGGATGAAGGGAACGAATTTCAAGAGGGAGGCTTTCCTGAGTGTGTGTTTAGACAACATTTCCCCTTGAGCGCCCCAGAAACGCAGTTGGCATTGTGACCCAGCAGGCAGACATAGTGGCTAACGGAAATAGTCGTTCACGCGGCGGTGCTGGCCAGCTTTTTGGTGCACGCTTCAAACTTGTCTATAGATCATCCCATTAGAAATGGCTGGGGTGGAGAGTGGGGGTATCAGGGAAGGCTTCCTGGGGAGGCGGAATCACAGTGAAGAGGATTCCTAGAGCCTGGCTAACAAAGTCTCCATTCTTTGGACAGAGACACCTTACTGGGGTTCTCAGAAGGTTTTCCATAATGACCAGTGTCTTGCGAGTGAAACTTTGTTATTAATGCTTACATTTGCTATGTTTTCCTTTCTGTTACTGATTAGTCTCTTTATACACGAGCATCCTCCTTGGGATTTCCTCCAAAGCTGGACATGGCCTTCTGTGTGTGCGTGCATGCATTTGTGTATTTAACTGGTTTTTAAAGAACTGGTAAGGGTTCTTTGTCTCCACAAAATGGTACTAGACTAAAAGAGTTTTTGAATGCCACCCATTTTAGGTAATGACTGAGTTTAAGAGTGTTAAATCAACTTTCCTCCTCCCCATCCTACCCCAATCTCCGAGGACCGTGGGGTACAAAATAAGCCATCTTTTTCCATGTAGTGCTTATGGAGAGAGCAAAAGATATCTCCATAACCAACTATATAGTACATGAGGAAGATAAGAATTAGAAGCTTACTGAATAGTTGTATTGAGAGAACCCTGTCATTTTATACTGGATTCCTAAACCTTTTGAACTTTCTTCTGTAGAAATATTAAAAGAGGCTGAAACATTATTCTGTTGAAGACTTAGATGATCTGCTTTTTAAAAAACATTTTTAAATAACAGGCAGCACAGTAAAAGTTGTTAAATAGAAGCCATCTTTCATTCACAGGTTCAGGTGCTGTGTTTACATTTGGAAAAACCAAATTTGCTGAAAATATTCCTAGCAAGTTCTGGTTTAAAAATGATGTGCCTACATACCTTTCATGTGGAGATGAACATACTGCCGTTGTGACAGGTTAGTATTACAGTGCTAAGTGAGGACCATGGCACTTAGAGAATCCTGCATTTTACAGATGTGCTGTGTTTTAAACATGTTGAAAATACATAAAATGTGATTGTTGTATTTTGTTAGAGAATTCACAGATTGATTCATCTAGAGTATCTTCAGTGTTAAGTGCCCTTAGTGTATTTAAATATGATTTTTAATATATGCAACTTTCTTGGAATAAATCTATTTCAGTATAATCTAAAGAACTGTTACTGGGTAACCTTAAAACTCTTTTAAACCTAATGGAATGTGGCTATACATAGATAGATAAGGTAACCTGTTTCAACATAGAAAAGCAATGTGGTTTTTAAAGTACAGCTTGTTTATTGCTTTGTGATCATTTCACTTCATAGTATGTATGTGAAAACGCTTCACTTTATTATATATTCCCTTTTCTCTCCTACCAGGAAATAATAAACTTTATATGTTTGGCAGTAACAACTGGGGCCAGTTAGGATTAGGATCCAAGACAACTATCAACAAGCCAACATGTGTCAAAGGTTGGGGTCTTTTCTTCTTTATTACTTTAAATACTTAACATACTCCATAAAGTACTTTTTAATTGATTGTTTAGTTCTTCAGTGTCATAAATAATAGTCTTTCTTTGTTTTCTGACTTTTACTTGTGTATTAACATTTAAGCTAGTTTTTTATATGAAATGCAAGACTACTTTTATATGTTAGAGTCTAAAAATCACCTTGGTTTTTTTTTTTTTTTGACAGGCAGAGTGGACAGTGAGAGAGACAGAGAGAAAGGTCTTCCTTTGCCGTTGGTTCACCCTCCAATGGCCGCCGCTGCTGGCGCACTGCGGCCGGTGCACCATGCACCATGCTGATCCGATGGCAGGAGCCAGGTACTTATCCTGGTCTCCCATGGGGTGCAGGGCCCAAGCACTTGGGCCATCCTCCACTGCACTCCCTGGCCACAGCAGAGAGCTGGCCTGGAAGAGGGGCAACCGGGACAGAATCCGGCGCCCCGACTGGGACTAGAACCCTGTGTGCCGGCGCCGCAAGGCGGAGGATTAGCCTAGTGAGCCGTGGCGCCGGCCTAAAAATCACCTTGGTTTTAAAATGATTATATAGTACAGTTCGAATATCCCTAATTTGAAAATCCAAACTCTGAAGCTTTTTTTTCTCCTAAACATTTTTTTAAACTTTGAAACTTCTTGAGTGCTGACATGACACTCAGTTTTAATTTAAAAACATTTTGGATTTTAGGTGTTTGTATTAGGGATGCTCAACTAGGTAAAGTCTATGCAGATATTGTAAAATCTGAAAAACTTTGAAACATTTCTTGTCAAACATTTTGGATAAAGAATACTCAACCCGGATTGCATTTGTGTATCCTTTTTGTTGCTTGTTTGTGAAACTATTTAAATATTGGTGTTATTGTGTATCAAAAGACCAAATATCATGGTGTGTTGGGATTTTTTGAACTCTTTTAGTATACTTGTAGACATCATGCTTCTATGTAGTTGAATTGCCAGTTTTATAACCGAATGAAACATTAAGACTAGGGGGTCGATCAGTACCAGTTAACAGAACTATAGGACAAAGTATTTGAAAGACTGTCCCAGAAAATGCTGGATGTATAATACCCTTACAAAGCATTCTCACTGTTACATGCAAAGCCTTTGTTTGGAGATGACCTGTAGACATCAGCTGAAGTTGAAGGGCAATGGAGATTACTTCGGATGTGACAAAGACAGTTTTCTTTATCTTTGTAACCAAATTCTAAGCTCCCACTCAAAATTTATCATATCCATGCTATTTATAGATGTTGTTATGGGAATCTTAAAGTATTCCATGTGGTCAAAAAGTATTTATTGAGTACAGTCCATGAATACATGGAATATTCATGGTGAGCATGATCCTCAGTTTCAGAAATCTTATCTGATAGGCTAACAGGGTTGTCTAGACTATAAATTCTCTCTTAGTTATCTTTGTAGTTCCTATACCAAGCACTTCAGAGCTGTTCTAAAAACATTTCTTGAATAATAAGTTGATAAGAAATTTTTTAAAAGATTTATTTATTTATTTAAAAGAGTTACACAGAGAGAGGAGGAGAGGCAGAGAGAGAGAGAAAGAGAGAGGTCTTCCATCTGCTGGTTCACTCCCCAGTTGGTTGAAACAGCCAGAGCTGTGCCAATCCGAAGCCAGGAGCCAGGACTTTCTTCTTTGTCTCCCATGCATGTGCAGGGGCCCAAGGACTCCAGCCATCTTCTACTGCCTTCCCAGACCATAGCAGAGAGCTGGATCGGAAGTGGAGCAGCCGAGACTCGAACCAGTGCCCATATGGGATGCTGGCACTGCAGGTGGTGGCTTTACCTGCTACGCCATAGCACCAGCCCCGATAAGCAATTTTAACCTAGATGTATGTCTGTTAATATTGGACTTGCAGGTTTTCATTGAATGTGGTAGATAGTGAGTCTGATAATGGTGATGGCAGATTAGGTAATGGATCTGTTTGGTTAGGGTATAGCAAACAATACGGTAGATCTCAGCACAATATTAATTACCCACAGAGTTTTTAAAAATACATAGATGCGTAGGCCCTACTTCAGACCCACTGAATCAAATTCTCCAGGGATGAGACTAAGCTATCTATTACTGTTTTCAAAGCTCTACTGGTTATTGTAGTACATAACCAGTTTTGAAAACGTTTGGGTTAGTAGTTAACATCACCTTTGGAGTCAGACACATTCAGTTGTATGACTTAGTTACCATTTGACCTGGGTTATTTATTATTTTTGTATCTATAAATTATTTTAATTGTCAAATTCCTCTTTTTAGCTCTAAAACCTGAAAAAGTGAAATACGTTGCCTGTGGAAGGAACCATACCCTAGTTTCAACAGGTATGATATTGAACCTGTGTGACTTCCTGCCTGACTTTGAGAACTGAAGCAAGTTACATTAGGGTTTTCAAATCTGTCAGTGATTGGTGTTAGGTATTTGTTTTCTTAGATATGCAGATAATGTTAAACAGCTGAAGAAAGCTTGCTCTTTGATATTTTCAAGGAACATCTCTCTGGGTGCATACCTCAAGGGCTGCTTGCTCCTTTTCTTGCTCTTTCCTCTTCCTTGCTAAGGGTGAGTGGAAGCCACCCAAAAGACTAGGGATGTAAGTGTAATTCTAATCCAAATTCAAATAGGCTTTGTGTGTGTATATAGAAATTGAAAAAGTGATTCTGAAATTTATATGGAAAAGCCAAGGGCATAAAATAGCCAAAAACTTTTTGGAAAAGAATAAAATTGGGGAACTTGAACCACCTGATTTCAAGATGTGAAGTAAAACTACAGTAATGAAGACAGTGTGGTATTGGCAAATAGATGGACAAAGATTAATGAAACAGAATAGCGTCCAGAAGTGGAGGCATACATATGCCCAAGTAATTTTTAAAAAATATTTATTTATTTGAAGGGCAGAGTTACAGAGAGGCAGGGAGGGAGAGAGAGAGAGAGAGAGAGAATGAGAATCTTCTATCCACTGGTTCACTCTCCAAATGGCCGCAACCTCCAGAGCTGAGCCAATATGAAGCCAGGAGCTTCTTCCAGGTTTCCTACGTGGGTGCAGGGGCCCAAGGATTTGGGCCATCTTCCACTGCCTTCCCAGGCCATAGCAGAGAGCTGGATCGGAAGTGGAACAGCCAGGACTCGAACCAGAGCCCATATGGGATGCTGGCACTGCAGGTGGTGGCTTTACCTGCTACACTACAGCGCTGGCCCCCCAACTGATTTTTGACAGAGGTATTAGGTAAGCTGAATGAAGAATAGGGTAGTCTTTTCAGCAAATGCTGCTGTAATAATTAATCCCGCGGGCCCAGAATCCCTTAGCAGTGCTTCTTACCTCTTTCCCCTCCACACTACTTCTGTCTTCTGTCTATTCTCACTGCCTTCTGTCTCCTCACTCCTCTGCCTTGGTCTTTATACTGTCCCCTTTCTGACATGTCTTTTCTCTTTTGGCCTATTCAGATTCTTATCTTTTCATATCCCATATAAATCTTTCTTTTTCCATGGAGTTTTTTGGGCCTATTCAACTTTTTTTTTCAAGATTTTATTTAATTATTTGAAAGAGTTACACAGAGAGAGGAAGAGACAGAATCTTCCATCCTCTGGTTCATTCCCCAAATGACCGCAATGGTTAGGGCTAGGCCACACTGAAGCCAGGAGTCAGCTTCTTCCAGATCTCCCAAGTGGATGCAGGGACCCAAGTACTTGGACCATCTTCTGCTCCTTTCCCTAGGCACATTAGCAGGGAGCTGGATTGGAAGTGGCACAGCTAGTCTTGAAATGGCATCCAAATGATTACTGTAGGTGGTGGCTTTACCCACTATGCTGGCCCCTCTACTCAACTTTTTGCTCACGTAGTTCTCTGATACTTTAACATTTCACCAACTCTCATTTTGCCCCAGCATGTTGAATTTTACAGTCCTATTCCATGTGGTCTTATAGTGTCTTCCATTTAAAAGCTGATTTGTGGGGCTGGTGCTGTGGTGTAGTGGGTTGTGCCTCTGCCTATGATACCGGCATCCCATGTGGGCGTCAGTTTGAGTCCTAGCTGCTCCTCTTCTGATCCAGCTCCCTGCTAACGGCCTGCAGAAGCAGTGGAAGATGGCCTGAGTTCTTGGGCCCCTGTACCCACTGGGAGACCTGGAGGAAGCTCCTGGCTGCTGGCTACAGATCGGCCCAGCTCCGGCCATTGCAGCCATTTGGGGAGTGAACCAGTGGAAGGAAGACCTTTCTTTCTGTCTCTCTCTCTCTCCCTGTCTGTACTCTACCTCTCAAATAAATAAGTAAATCTTTTTTTTTTTAGATTAGGTTTTGTTCTTTTGCTACTTTCCCCAGGCACATTAGCAGGGAGCTGGATTGGAAGTGGCACAGCTAGTCTTGAAATGGCGTCCAAATGGGATGTTGGCACTGCAGGTGGTGGCTTTACCCACTAAATTCAATACTATTTGTATCTAATTTAAAGTTTTCACTGATTCAGACTGATTTTGTACTGTTTGCCCTATAACTAAGTGAGGTTTAACTTTATGTGCATTTTTAAAAAATATTTATTTATTTATTTATTTGAAAGAGTTACACAGAGAGGAGAGGGAGAGAGAGAGAGAGAAAGAGAGAGAGAGAGAGAGAGGTCTTCCATCCTCTGGTTCACTCCCCAATTGGCTGCAGTGGCCGGAGCTGTGCCAATCTGAAGCCAGGAGCCAGGAGCTTCTTCCAGGTCTTCCACGTGGGTGCAAAGGCCCAAGGACTTGGACCATCCTGTACTGCTTTCCCAGGCCATAGCAGAGAGCTGGATCAAAAGTGGAACATCTGGAATTCAAACCGGTTCCCATATGGGATGCCGGCACTACAGGTGGAGACCCTCTTTTTGTGCATTTTTATGACAGATGTAGCTACTTTAATATGTGTGTGTTTAAAAAGCCTTCATGATTTCCATTTGCATCCATTGTGTTGTGAACAACAGGATTTCATTCTTGTTTACAGCTGAGTAATATTCCATAGTGTGCATATACCATGTTTTCTCTATCCAGTCATAAGTTGGTGGGCATCTGGATTGATTCCATATCTTAGTTATTGTGAATTGAGCTGCAATAAACATGGGGGTATGGATAACTCTTTGATATCCTGATTCCATTTCATATAGGTAAATTCCTAGGAGTAGGATGGCTGGGGCAACTGGAAACCATTACACTTAGTGAAATAAGCCAGTCCCAGAAAGACAAATATCACATGTTTTCCCTGCTCTGTGGTAACTAATAGAGTACCAAAAATGTAATGTATACAAGCAAAATTGAAATTTTGAGAATTATTTTTATAGCCCTTATCTCTACTGTTGAGGAACAGTGTTTTTTTTTCTTCTATTTGTTAAAGTCTTTATTTAGTGGGACATTAATCTTTTTTTAAAAAAGATTTATTTATTTATTTGAAAGTCAGAGTTACACATACAGAGAGAGAGAGAGAGAGGAAGAAAGAGGTCTTCCATCCAATGGTTCACTCCCCAATTGGCCACAACGGCAGGAGCTGCACTGATCTGAAGCCAGGAGCCTCCTCCAGGTCTCCCACGTGGGTGTGGGGGCCCAAGGACTTGGGCCATCCTCCCCTGCTTTCCTAGGCCATAGCAGAGAGCTGGATCAGAAGTGGAGCAGCTGAGACTCGAACCGGCACCCACATGGGATGCCAGCGCTTCAGGCCAGGGTGTTAACCTGCTGTGCCACAGCACTAGCCCCATGTTAGTCTTATGATTGTAAAATAAACAAAGTATGTCATTGTAAAAATTAAAAGAATAAGAAAGGAAGGAGGAGGGAGGGTAGGGTGGGAAGTATCACTCTGTTCCTAAATCTTTATATATGAAATACATGAAATTTGTTCATCTTATATAAATAAAAAATTGTAAAACAAAACAGATAAAAGTCTTCATTAGTTTAGAGACTACTGGAAATTGTTAAAATCTAGACATGGTGTACTTATTTAAGTAATTAACATTTGTATAGTGTTTGCAATGAGTCAGATGCTGTTCTAAGAATTTTACAAGTGTCAACTAATTTAATCTTCATAACAACTTTGAAGTAGGCATCCAGTGCTATCCCCATTTTACAAATGAGGAAAATGAGGCACAGAGAAGTTAAGTATGGCTTGCCCAAGGTCACACAGCTGGTAAGTAGCAAGTCGGATTTTGTACCCAGGCGGTCTCGCTCTGAAGTCTTTCCTCCTAAACACAATGCTGTACTGTCTTCCTATTTAGCTAGAAAGTTAAAATAATTATACAACATTGAACTTTCATATTTCTGATTATATTCTTCAGTTTGCCTCATTTTACTTATTTGTACTATTATGTTTTAGCTTTAATGGGGATGAAATTTAAAATTAATGAACCACACCTCAAAATAGTTCGATTTGGATTTTAAAGTAATTTGGAAGTTTCTTTCCTATTTTTTGCTTGTAATTAATAAAGTGCTGTATTAACCAGAAAATGCATTCTGTATATTTCAGTTGCCAAGTAAACTCTAGAATGATTCATAAAATGTCACCAAAGTGTGTGGCCTTGCTTGATGTGCTTTATTTTTGACCTTGAAATGAAGTTGTTCACCTAGTAATGGGATGGTAACAGCTTTCAAGTTTCTTCACCGTGAATAGAGGAAATATCTCCTCTACACTGACTTGTCTGCTACAGAGGGTAACTGCAATTTATTGGTGTTTTATTTTCCCATGCACAGAAGAAGGCAACGTATATGCAACTGGAGGAAATAATGATGGACAGTTGGGACTAGGGGATACTGAAGGGAGAAACACTTTTTATCCAATCAGCTTTTTTACATCCCAGCATAAGATTAAACAGCTCTCTGCTGGTTCCAATACTTCAGCTGCACTGACTGGTAAGGCTCATTTCCATTGCAATCTAGGACATGTCTTTTCCTTTAGACCAGGATATGCCGACTCAGTAGACTGAAGACACCATTGCTGGTTAGTTTTTTGTTCATTGACTGTGTGCATTCAGAGGACTTTTGAAGCAGAACTTTAAATCTTGACATATATTACAGTTTATGCTTATTTAGAATTAGTTGTAAATATGCATTTAGAAGATAATTGGTAAATCAAATCTAAGCCGTACTGTCCATCTCCTTTAGGTTTATTAAATGTTATCTTCATGGTATGCTCCAAAAGTTATGCTTGCAGCTTTAATAAAGTTGCTATCAGAAACATCTATACAAATCTGTCACAGTGTATGTTGTGAAAATATATGTTAATGGTCGTTGCATTTCTCTGCCTCCTATTGAAAGTGCATCTGAGTCGGTGCCGCGGCTCAATAGGCTAATCCTCCACCTAGCGGCGCCGGCACACCGGGTTCTAGTCCCGGTTGGGGCGCCGGATTCTGTCCCGGTAGCCCCTCTTCCAGGCCAGCTCTCTGCTGTGGCCCGGGAGTGCAGTGGAGGATGACCCAGGTGCTTGGGCCCTGCACCCCATGGGAGACCAGCAGAAGCACCTGGCTCCTGCCTTCGGATCAGCGCGGTGCGCCGGCCGCAGCCCACCAGTCGCGGCGGCCATTAGAGGGTGAACCAACGGCAAAAGGAAGACCTTTCTCTCTGTCTCTCTCTTTCACTGTCCACTCTGCCTGTAAAAAAAAAAAAAAAGGAAAGAAAGTGCATCTGAGACATTTCTTTAAAAATTGGAGCTGAGATCAACATGGTCTCATTGAAGCTGTTGATCTGCTTTGTTCCGAGTTGGAGGCTGTAACTTCCAGAGGTGCTCTGCGTGTCAGGAAAGCCAGTCATATCTGAACCTCTGGCCCTTCAGTTTTGTCAACTGTATAGTTAACATTTTGGCATCCTTCTTTCAGTTTTATTTTCAATCATTTATTCAGTTATTAAATCACTTCAGAGTTTACCAATTTTAAATCAGTTGCAGAATGTAAATACGTATTGATACATTCCTTCTAAATATTCTTCCTAATTTAACCTTTTCACACATCAAAACCTTTAATAGAAAGGAAATAAGTTAACCTGTTTTGTTTTTTTTTTTTTTTTTTTGACAGGCAGAGTTAGACAGTGAGAGAGAGAGAGAGACAGAGAGAAAGGTCTTCCTTCCGTTGGTTCATCCCCCAAATGGCCACTATGGCTGGCGCGCTGCACCCATCTGAAGCCAGGAGCCAGGTGCTTCTCCTGGTCTCCCATGCACATGCAGGGCCCAAGCACTTGGGTCACCCTCCACTGCCTTCCCGGACCACAGCAGAGAGCTGGACTGGAAGAGGAGCAACCGGGACAGAATCCGGGCTTCCCAACAGGGGCTAGAACCTGGGGTGCCAGCGATGCAGGCGGAGGATTGGCCAAGTGAGCCACGGTGCCGGCCCAACCATTTTTTAAGATGTCATGTAGACTAATCTGTCTCCTCATTCACTGAAGCTAGAGTCTGTGTTTTCAAAAAGATAGATTTCCTTTTTTCTTTAAAACATATTTTCCCCAGTGTTTTCAAGGGTGAGGCCTCCCAGGCACTTTGGACCTAGGACTTGCCCTCAGGCCTGTAGATCTCTAGTGCTGTCTCTCTCTTCAGATAGACGGCTTGGAAGGAAGAAAATATTTCTGTTTAGAGACATAAGGATTAGAGAAAAAGTGATTAATTATAAGAAAGGGCAATCGGTGTGTGCTGTTGAGGTGAAGAGATGGATGTGCACAAAGTGATTACAGTCGGGTCTGTTAGAAATATGAATGTACGTGCTGGAGAGTACTGCTTTTAAAACCTTTTCTCATGCTTTCTTTATAGAGAACGGAGAACTTTTTATGTGGGGTGACAATTCTGAAGGACAGATTGGTTTAAAAAATGTAACTAATGTGTGCGTCCCTCATCAAGTGACCATCGGGAAGCCTATTTCCTGGATCTCTTGTGGGTATTACCATTCAGCCTTTGTAACAAGTAAGCTAAAATATTTTACATTTCTCATGTTATCTACCATTTCTAAGTTATTACTAAATAATAAAATTATATAATATATTCTACAGTTCTGTACAAATAATGCCATGGTTGTCTAGAAGATGAAAGAATTTTGGCCTATCTTAGGTGACAGTATTTCTCTATTTCTGTGATAAGAATTTATAATTTCAGAGTTTCTCTGACATGTTAACTTTTTAAAAAAACATTTATGGGGCTGGCACCGTGGAGCAGTAGATTAATCCTCTGCCTGTGGCGCTGGCATCCCATATGGGCGCCAATTCTAGTCCCTGTTGCTCCTCTTCCAGTCCAGCTCTCTGCTGTGGCCTGGGAAAGCAGTAGAAGATGGCCCAAGTCTTTGGACCCCTGCACCCGGGTGGGAGACCAGGAAAAAGCTCCTGGCTTCGGATCAGCGTGATTCTGGTCATTGTGGCCATTTGGGGAGTGAAGCAACGGAAGGAAGACCTTTCTGTCTCTCCCTCTCACTGTCTGCAACTCCACCTCTCAAATAAATAAATAAAATCTTTAATGGGCACCAGGTTCTAGTCCAGTTTGCTTGTCTTCCAGTTCAGTTCTCTGCTGTGGCCCCGGAAGGCAGTGGAGGATGGCCCAGGTGCTTGGACCCCTGTACCCACATGGGAGACCAGGAGAAAGCACCTGGCTCCTGGCTTCGGATCAGCACAGCTCTGGCCGTAATGGCCATGTAGGGAGTGAACCAACGGAAGGAAGACCTTTCTCTCTGTTTCTCTCTCTCACTGTCTATCTGTCAAATAAATTTAAAAAATCCTTAAAATATTTACTTATTTACACTTACTTGAAAGGCAGAGTGGCAGAGAAAGAGGAAGACAGACAGTTATCATCTATCCACTGATTCACTCACAGATTTCACAATAGCTGGGGCTGAACCAGGCCAAATCCAGGAGCCAGGAACTCTAGCCAGGTCTCCCACATGAATGCAAGGACCAAGCACCTGAGCTGTCATCTGTTGCCTCCCAGGGTACATATGAGCAGGAAGCAGAATCACAAGCAGAAGTGGGACTCAGTCCCCTCACTCTGATGTGGAATATGGGCATTTATTGCAGGCTGTAGCTTAACCTGCTGCACAACACCTCACTTTCTAAGTGAATACCCATATTTGGTCTATTACAGAAACAAAATTAATATGTTAGAAGCTGAAATTTTGGGTCTCAGACTTCTTAGATCCCTTTGGCATTTACAAGACCTTTGGGCCACTTGGCTGTAGAACTATTTGCCTATATACTTTACCCTACTGTTGTCCTGATAATTTAGTGTTTCAGTGAGAACCAGGTTGAATACTAGTTGAAAAAGAAATAAAGCTCATTATAGGATATGAGTACATTATAGGAAATAGTGGGATTTTTCCAAGCAGCCTCAACTTCTCTTTCCTGGACCCACTGACAACCTTTTCTACCTTAGTTAAAAATAGTTGAAATGTTGGGCTCTTTTATAGTCTATATATATATACTAGTAGTAATAAGAGAAATATGATTATGGCTTTCCACTTAGCTGATAGTTTTTTAATTGTTAAAACATCTAGAGGGTGTAAGACATTTGTTGCCCCTCTTAGACATCTCTCTAAATCTTTATTTTATACAATTACTCTTTTTTTAAGATTCATTTATTTATTTGTGTTTTTTTTTTTTTGACAGACAGAGTTAGTGAGAGAGAGAGACAGAGAGAAAGGTCTTCCTTCCGTTGGTTTACCCCCCAAATGGCTGCTATGGCCGGCGTGCTGCGCCAATCCGAAGCCAGGAGCCAGGTGCTTCTCCTGGTCTCCCATGTAGATGCAGGGCCCAAGGACTTGGGCCATCCTCCACTGCACTCCCGGACCACAGCAGAGAGCTGGACTGGAAGAGGAGCAACCAGGACAGAACTGGCGCCCCAACCGGGACTAGAACCTGGAGTGCCGGCACTGCAGGTGGAGGATTAGCCAAGTGAGCCGTGGCGCCGGCCTCATTTATTTATTTGTAAGGCAAAGTTACAGAGAGGCAGAGGCAGAGAGAGAGAGAAAAGAGAGAGAGAGGGAGGGAGGGAGAGAGAGGTTTTCCATCTGGTGGTTCAGTCCCTAAATGGCCACAGTATCTAGAGCTGTGCCGATCCGAAGCCAGGAACCAGGAGCTTCTTCTGGGTCTCCCACATAGGTGCAGGGGCCCAAGGACTTGGGCCATCATCTGCTTTCCCAGGCCATAGCAGAGAGCTGGATTGGAAGTGGAGCAGCCAGGACTTGAACCTGTGTCTGTATGAGATGCCGACACTGCAGGCGTTGGCTTTATCCGCTATGCCACAGCTCTAGCCCCTACAATACTCTATTGGACCACAAACTCAGGTTATGAGTTGTTAATTGACCCATCCCAGTGCTTCCCATTAACCAATGGATTTGTCAGTATAGTTCATCACTGTATCATCACTGTATCACTTGACTTAAACAAGTTGATAATGAATAGTGTAGAGGGAGTAGGTGAATAAATAGTCAAATTCCTTGTGGGGGGTAATACCATCTGCCAAATTTTTGGCAACTTTGGGGCTCTTGGGGGTTGGTGCATTCTACACTTTATTCATGAAACAAAAAACCAGGAGGAAAAACACAAATGGAAAAATAAAACCAGGGCCGGTGCTGTGGCACAGTGGATTAAAGCCGCGGCCTGCAGCACCAGCATCCCACATGGGCGCTGGTTTAAGTCCCAGCTGCTCCACTTCTGATCAAGCTCTCTGCTGTGGCCTGGGAAAGCAGTAGAAGATGGCCCAAGTCCTTGGGCCCCTGCACCCATGTGGAGACCTGGAAAAAGCTCCTGGCTCCTGGCTTTGGATCAGCTCAGCTCTGCTCTGGCTGTGTGGCCATTTGGGGAGTGAACCAGCACATGGAAGATCTTTCTCTCTCTTGCTCGCTCTACTTCTCCCTGTAACTGTCTTTCAGATAAATAAAATAGGCCGGCACTGCGGCTCACTAGGCTAATCCTCCGCCTTGCGGCGCCGGCACACCGGGTACTAGTCCCGGTCGGGGCGCCGGATTCTGTCCCGGTTGCCCTCTTCCAGGCCAGCTCTCTGCTGTGGCCAGGGAGTGCAGTGGAGGATGGCCCAAGTACTTGGGCCCTGCACCCCATGGGAGACCAGGAGAAGCACCTGGCTCCTGCCATCGGATCAGCGAACCAACGGCCAAAAGGAAGACCTTTCTCTGTGTATCTCTCTCACTGTCCACTCTGCCTGTCAAAAAAAAAAAAAAACAACAAAAAAAAAACCAAATAAATAAATAAATCTATAAAGAAAGAAAGAAAACCAATCAAGGAAACACAAATTGCAAATAAATATATTTGTATTTTAAGAAAGGTGCCAGATTCAATTTTATTAGTAAACTCTGCTTTAGCTGTTAGGGTATAAGTTAGTTTTGTTCTTCTCACCCAACAAGTGTTACATTGAGCTTTTGTTTTGGTTTAATGACTTTCATAAAAAGGAATTTCATTGAGATGTAATTCACATACCTTGAAATTCATTTAAATTCCATTTAAAGTATGCAATTGAAAGGTTTTTTTTTAATAAAATATATGCGCAGCCTTGTATATACAGTGAACCTCTATACTAACTATATTGGTGGAGACTCAGTTTTCTTGCTAGCTATTTTTTAATGGCAATCATTTGAAGGAGCTTTTTACAGATCTTGGACATAACTCTAACATAGGGGCTTTTACTTAATATATATTTTATGAGAGATGAAGATATTATATGGAAAAGGACATTTGTTATCTTTTGGAGACCCAAAAGACCAAGTTTTCGTAATAAAAATACAGAACATGTTACTGAAATAGTTAATGTTTAAAGCTTCCTGCAGATTTTTAAACTTAGTAGTATGTTTGGTCATGTTCATGTTCTAAATTTAAGTTCGTGTTCTAAATTATATACAATATTTGATTTTTAAATATTAGGAGAAAAGCATATGGAGTTTTCAGATATTTTCCCTGCTTTCTGTCGTTTCATCATATTTCTTATTTCATCTGATTTCTTAATGGTTGGGTCTGAGCAGCATTTCAGCCATAAGAGTGAATTAGGCACAGCACAACAGGGATTATAAGTAAATCAGTTGGGGTTATGGGAATGGGATAGGGATGTATGGATTAATCTTCAGAGATTGGAGAATAAAGACCTAGCAGGGCACCTAAGTAAAGTCAGAATCCTGGGGGAGGTAGATATCAGAGCCAGGTAGATAGTTTGAGGAATCCAGATTTCATAAAAAACTAATGGGCTCCAATGAAGTAAAAGTGGATGATTTCTTTGTTCATGATATGTGATTTTTGTATATAAATAAGAAAATGAACTCAGAACATTTTATATGAATTAAAAGTTTATCTTCCCCATTTAAAGAAGATTCTACTGATAGCTACATGGAAATATCATTTCTAATCCTTTATGGGTACATATTTGACCTTAAAAAGTTGGCACTGTGAGAAATGATTTAGTGGCTTACTATGTAAAATTCATTTTAAGTGATTTTTTTATAATACCAACTTGATTAGAACATAATACTAGCTACCAGATGTATAGTTTTACCATCTGGGGCTGATGTGGTGCAGTGGGTTAAGCTATCACCTATGACACCAGTATCCCATAGGAGCATTGGTTTGAGTCCTGGCTGCTCCACTTCTGATCTACCTTCCTGCTAATGTACCTGGGAAAGCAGCAGATGATGGCCCAAGTACTTGGGCCCCTGCCACCCACATGGGAGACCTGGATGGAGTTTCAGGCTCCTGGTTTTGTCCTGACCCAGCCCTGGCAGTTGTGACTATTTGGGGAGTGAACCGAACCAGCAGATGGAAGATCTTTGTCTCTGTATCTCCCTCTCTCTCTATAGCTCTGCCTTTCAATAATTTTTGAGAGATTTATTTATTGGGGCTGGCGCTGTGGCGCAGTGGGTTAATGCCCTGGCCTGAAGTGCCGGCATCCCATATGGGCACTGGTTCAAGACCCGGCTGCTCCACTTCCGATCCAGCTCTCTGCTATGGCCTGGGAAAGCAGATGATGGCCCAAGTCCTTGGGCCCACGCACCCGCATGGGAGACCCAGAAAAAGCTCCTGGTTCCTGGCTTCGGATCGGCTCAGCTCCGGCCGTTGTGGTCAATGGGGAGTGAACCATTGGATGGAAGACCTCTCTCTCTCTCTCTCTCTCTCTCTCTCTGCTTCTCCTCTCTCTGTGTAACTCTGCCTTTCAAATAAATAAATCTTTTTTAAAAGAAAAGGCAGGCCGGCGCCATGGCTCAAAGGCTAATCCTCTGCCTGTGGCGCTGGCACCCCAGGGTTCTAGTCCCGGTCGGGGCGCCGGATTCTGTCCCGGTTGCTCCTCTTCCAGTCCAGCTCTCTGCTGTGGCCCGGGAGTGCAGTGGAGCATGGCCCAGGTGCTTGGGCCCCGCACCCACATGGGAGACCACGAGAAGCACCTGGCTCCTGGCTTCGGATCAGCGTGGTGTGCTGGCCACAGCGTGCTGGCTGCAGTGGCCATTGGGGGGTGAACCAACGGAAAAAGGAAGACCTTTCTCTCTCTCTCTCTCTCTCTCACTGTCCACTCTGCCTGTCAAAAAAAGAAAAGAAAAGAAAAGGCTGAGAGAGAGAGAGAGAGCTTCTATATGCTGGTTTACTCACCAAATAGGCACAACGGCTGGAGCTGTGCTGATCTGAAGCCAGGAGACTGGAGCTTCTTCAGGGTCTCCCACACAGGTGCAGGGGCCCAAGCACTTGGACCATCATCTTCTACTGCTTTCCCAGGCCATAGCAGAGAGCTGGATCGGAAACAGAGCAGCTGGGTCTCGAACAGACCCCCATATGGGATGCTGGCACTGCAGGTGGCGGCTTTACCTGCTACACCACAGTGCTGGCTCCTCAATAAATAATTTTTTTAAAAGAAAGTTTTTCCATCAACAAAGGATTTTCAAGTAAAAAAGTCTTCATTTAATCTCAGAACTCAAGAGAGGTGGTGTTATCTCTGATTTCATTTATGGAAGCAGGTTTAGGATATGACTTTAACAAAATTTATGCTGCGCCTTAGTTGCAGAAACAATTTGAAACCCCACCTTCTGACTCTAAAGGCCCAAATGCTTCTTCTTGGCTCATGGTTTCTCTTCATGCTCACAAGGAGGAGGAGGAGGAGGAGGGTGTGGAAGCAACTAATGACTGGCACTCCCTGTATGTTTCAAGTAGTTTTGAATGCATTAATTCATTTATTCTTGTGAATCAGCAACTTCATAACATAGGTACTTGTATTCCCATTTTATAGACACAACAATTAACTTGCTCAGTATGACTAAGTGAATGGCACAACCCAGATGCACACAGGGCTGTCTGGTTCTGGGGCTCATGCTTTTAACTACCATGCTATACCAATAACTATAAGAGATATAGTCCACTATTGGTAATATAAGAAATTTGATATTAGAGTCTTAGGTGACATCAAACAAGAGAAAAGATTATTTCTTGCTAGAGGCATCAGAACATATTTCAGAGAAAGGATGGTTTTTAAAATTAACTACTAAACTTGGAAAGTACTTTTAGAGGTGGAGGTGAGAGAAAGAGAAAGCTGGCAGAGACAAAACCAAATGCGGCTGGCGCCGCAGCTCACTAGGCTAACCCTCTGCCTGCGGCACTGGCACCCCGGGTTCTAGTCCCGGTTGGGGCGCTGGATTCTGTCCCGGTTGTTCCTCTTCCAGTCCAGCTCTCTGCGGTGGCCCAGGAAGGCAGTGGAGGATGGCCCAGGTCCTTGGGCCCTGCACCCCAATGGGAGACCAGGAGGAAGCACCTGGCTCCTGGCTTCGGATCGGCGCAGCACACTGGCTGCAACACGCCCGCCGTTGCGGCCACTTGGAGGGTGAACCAACAGAAAAAGGAAGACCTTTCTCTTTCACTGTCTAACTCTGCCTGTCAAAAAACAAAACAAAACAAAACAAAAAAACCAAATGCATTTATGGCGGCAGAAAAGTAAATCGTGTATTTGAAGATTATTGCATAGTTGAGCTTGTCTAGACGTGATGACAAGTTTCCTACCTAGCAGTCATTGATCTCAAATGAAACTGAACCCCAGGAATAATATGCTACATTTTGTAAGTGCATTTTTAAAAAATTAGAAGTATCAGGTTTAGACCCTTTATTTTGGAAGATATATCTGTTATTGTTTAGATATCTGAGACTAAAGCTGGGAAACCCATTTGGAAAACTTGGTTCAGGAGAAAATTCATGTAAGGTGGGAGGGGCAGTAGGAATTATAAGAGGTGGGGGAGATTTACCAGGCCTTAGTAACTAATTTTATATGAGAGGCAAGAGGCATGAGAAAAGGGGGAAGGTTGCTAACATACTGAGCACTTTTCCTGAGACAGTTTTTGCTAAATACTTCGTAGAAAACTATGGTGCAGCAAAATTAATTTTCTGTGCAGGTAAATCTAGAAAATCACTATAGCTGCATTTACAGTATTTGATGAAGTTTTAAGTGTTGCACAACATCTTTGCTGAATGTCCCAACACTTTCCTAAGTTGTGTGATTTGCTAGAATGACTCACAAGCTTCAATAGCAGATTATACTCATGAATAAGCTTTATTATAGCAAAGCAGAAAGAACAAAATAAAAATATGAAAAATATGCATCATAGATAAAGTCCATAGAGGTCTAGTATAGGCTTCCTTGCAGATCCCTTCTTCTTCCTGCCATATAGGAACTATAGGGACATGTGTGGAATATCTCTGATTAGGGAAGCCTATGCTAGTCTTGGGGACTGAGGCTATTTTTTTATGGTAAGCTGGAGGGAAGGGGGGACAGGTCATGTAGGCTTTTTCTGCTAGCTAAAACTGGGACCATCAATAACAAACCTGAGAACCTAATCTGGCATAGTTCATTGCTCCAGGTGTATGTAACAAAATTATCAGACACTAACAATGAATCCTCTAAGGGCCAACTTTGCAGTTTGGCCGAGGGTCTATCATGGTTCTCTTGGAGATATTCCAAGAATAAGGCAAGCAAACCCACTAGGTTACCTCTTTCCTCACACCAATGTTTGTATGTTCTGTGTCATTTGTTAGATTAGTTTATGTATTTATAAAAATGTAAAATATGATAATATATTTTATTAAATTTCTGCTTTCTAGAACTCAGTTTCATAGAAATGAATAAGAAAGTGTCTACTTTCAGGAATCTTAAAGTCATAGTGTAATGAGTACAAATCAATGGTGTTAGTATAGACAAGACAGTGATTAAATGTAAGGACCTCCTTGGTAAGAGACTCTTTCTGGAGGAAGAACATCTAACTGAGTCAAATCTGCTATATTAAGATTTATTCAACATATTTACTCTAGTTACTAGTTCTTTAAATTTTTTTTATTTGACACAGAGAGAGAGAGAGAGAGAGAGACAGAGAGGACAGAGAGAAAGGTCTTCCTTCCATTGGTTCACTCCCCAAATGGCCGCTATGGCCGGCGCTGCACCGATCTGAAGCCAGGAGCCAGGTGCTTCTTCCTGGTCTCCCACATGGGTGCAAGCACTTGGGTTTCCCAAGCACTTCGGCCATCCTCCACTGCCCTCCTGGGCCACAGCAGAGAGCTGGACTGGAAGAGGAGCAACCGGGACTAGAACCCGGTGCCCATATGGGATGCTGGTGCCACAGGCAGAGGATTAACCAAGTGAGCCATGGCGCCAGCCCAAGTTACTAGTTTTTTAAAACAAGTTTTATAAAAAGTAATTATTCATTCACTTATTTAACAAGTATTTGATAATTGCTTATACTAGATACTGTTGGGTTTTTTGATATCAGTGAATAGGACAAAACTCATGTTTTTATGGGGTGTTAATATTTAGTTGTTTTGCTTTGTTATAAGTAAGTGGGGGGGGGGGCGGTGCTGTGGTGTAGCGGGTAAAGCCACCGCCTGCAGTGCTGGCATCCCATATGGGCACCAGTTCAAGACCCAGCTGCTCTGTTTCCGATCCAGCTCTCTGCTATGGCCTGGGAAAGCAGTAGAAGATGACCCAAGTCCTTAGGCCCTTGCACCCACATGGCTCCTGGCTCCTGGCTTTGGGTCAGTGCAGCTCTGACCATTGCTGCCATCTGGAGAGTGAACTAGCAGATGGAAGACCTCTCTCTCTCTTTCTCTCTCTCTCTCTCTCTCTCTCTCTCTCTCTCTCTCTGGATCAGTGCAGCTCTGACCATTGCTGCCATCTAGAGAGTGAACTAGCAGATGGAAGACCTCTCTCTCTCTCTCTCTCTCTCTCTCTCTCTGCCTTTCCTTCTCTCTGTGTAACTCTGACTTTCAAATAAATATAAATCTTAAAAAAATAAGTAAATAGAGGGGAAGTAGGCATTTAGCTTTCCAGTTGACACTGGTTAAGATGTGTGCAAACCATAGTGAAGTACCTGGTTTCAATACCCTGCTCTGTCTCCTGACTGCAGCATCCTGCTAATGTACACCCTGGGAGGCAGCGGTAATGGGCCAAGTATTTGGGTCTCTGCCACCTATGTGACAGACTTGGATTGAATTCCCAGTTTCCAGCTTTGTCCCAGCCCAGCCACAACCGTGGCAAACATTTGGAGGAGTGAAACAGTGGATGGGAGCTTGCTGCTGTCTCCCTCACCCTTGCCCTCACCCTTGCCCTCGCCCTCCTTCCCCTAATGAAAAAGAGATTGAAAAGTAAGTAGAGGATGCAAGATAGCCTTTGCTATGTTTTGTGAAAGAGCTAAAATGATTATGTTTGTTTAATAGTAGATAGTCTTAAAATCTTCATGAAGATTATTAGATTAAAATAATAAAAGAGAGCCAAAAAAATCTAATTTTATTTCCTTGTATACAGTAAAAATATCTCTAGAAAGAAAGGTCAAATTTATTAAGTTGTCATTACCTAAAGTTTTTATTGAACATGAGAATATGTACCAAAAAGATAAGTTCTTGTTCATCTTTATGTCATCATTGATAACAATACTTTTCCTTCCTTAGTGGACGGTGAACTGTACACATTTGGAGAATGTGAGAATGGGAAGTTAGGTCTCCCTGAGGAGCTGCTGATCAATCACAAAACTCCCCAGCTGGTGACTAGAATTCCTGAGAAGGTGATCCAGGTGGCTTGTGGTGGAGGACACACTGTGGTTCTCACGGGTATGTGTAGAGCCTATTGCTCTGTTCCCTGATTTCTGTGGTGGCTAATGACATCCTTAAAATTTTTTATTTTTTTAAGATTATTTTTAAGATTTAGAAATATACCAGGGTATTCGAATTCAATCCCATCGAGGTGGCATGTACCAATGCCATCTCACTAGTCCCAGTGATCAATTTCTGTTCACAATTGATCGTAATGATAGGACTAAGAACCAAAGGGATCACATAAACAAGAATAGTGTCTGCAAATACTAGCTGATAGAATCAAAAAGGGAGAGAATGATCCAACATGGGAAGTGAGATACACAGCAGACCCATAGAATGGCAAATGTCCTAACAGCACTCTGGCCTCATAATCAGCCCTTAAGGCATGCAGATCCGGCTGAAATGCCCATGAGAGTATTTCAGGCATGGAAAGCCAAGACACTCTGGGGGAAAAAAAAACCTAAATGAAAGATCTCCACGAGTGAGATCCCAGTGGAAAGAATGGGTCATCAAAGAAGGAGGTACCTTTCTCTGAAGGGAGGAGAGAACTTCCACTTTGACCATGGCCTTGCCTAAAAATGATCAGAGTCAGTGAACTCAGGGGGCTTCCATAGCCTTGGCAGCTCATGACAAGAGCCTAGGGTGATTACTGATGCCATAAACAAGAGTGTCAATTTGTTAAGTCAACAACAGGAGTCACTGTGCACTTACTCCTCATGTAGGATCTTTGTCCTTAGTGTGCTGTACATTGAGATTTAATGCTATAACTAGTACTCAAACAGTATTTTTCACTTTATGTTTCTGTGTGGGAGCAAACTATTGAAATCTTTACTTAATGTATGCTAAACTGATTTTCTGTATATAAAGAGAATAGAAAATGAATCTTGATGTGAATGGAAGGGGAGAGGGAGTGGATAAGGGGAGGGTTGCGGGTTGGAGGGACGTTATGGGGGGGAAGCCATTGTAATCCATATTCTGTACTTTGGAAATTTATATTCATTAAATAAAAGTTAAAAAAACATAAATAAAAATAAAAATATAATATTTGTTATAAAAAAAAAAAGAAAAGCAGAGTGTGGAGAGACAGAGACAGAGAAATCTTGCATCTGCTGTTTCACTCCCTAATGGCCACAACAGCCAGGGCTAGGCCAGGCTGAAGCCAGAAGCCTGGAACTCTATCCAGGTCTCCCACCTGGATGGCAGGGCCCTCAGTACTTGAGCTGTCTGCTGCTGCTTTCCCAAGCACGTTAGCAGGGAGCTGGAGTGGAAACAGGGCAGTTGGGACTTTGAACTGGGATGCCGGTGTCACAGGCAGTGACTTAACCCATTTCACCGCAATGGTGGCTGGCCCTGCTAATGACATTTTTAATGACCTTTTTATTGTGATAAGAACATTTAACGTAAGGTCTACCCTCTTAATGGATTTTTAAGTGTATGGTATACTATTGTTATATGCTGTTTATATGAGCACAATGTTTTACATCAGGTCTCTAAAACTTGTCCTATATGACAGAAACTTTATTCTTGTTGTACAGTAATGCTCTCTCCCTCACAACTTCACCCCTGACGACCACCATTTTATTCTTAGCTTCTGTGAGTTTGACACTTTTAGATACTTTATGTGAGTTGGCCTTGCATCTTTTTCATCCCTATAGTTAATACATATTTCTGGCCTATGAAAAAGTTTTTTTATGAAGGAAAAAAAATTGATTGTTGAATTGTTTTTGCTAACATGATTGACATTTCCATGACTTTAATATCTTTAATGGCAGCAAATAACATAGTGTCTAGTTCATTTTTAAGGACAAATAATTGTCTTCCTCATGTTTATGTATTCCATTATGTATTACTTATCTGTTCCTTGACTTCCCATTTTAGTCCCAGTCATGCTTACTGAATTTTGGTTTCCTAGAATTAAAATTTCCAAATGGAATCTTTTCCAAGTTAGAAATAATTTTTTTCAAAGGCTGCATTCTAAATTTGGAAATAATTGTGAGTTATGATGTTTTGAAATCATTGTTGACAAAATTAATTTTCATATAATTTCAAAAAGATTTATTCTAGAAATTAATCTTCATAAATTAAAAATTCATAGTATAGGCAGGGATGAAATTTATTTTTTATGTGCCAGATATTTTCTCTAGTTTATGGAAATATTGTAGAAATAGGTTACTATTCTATATTCTATTCTATATATTCTAATAGGTGAGTCAAAGTTATTCTGAATGATTCAAATATTGATTGTTTAATAATGTCATTCACCAATACATTATAAATTATTTTCACATAAAGTGAGCAATAAGGGGCACAATGGTTAACCTCAATTGCAAAAATCATGGCATGGGTCTTATTTTACCTTTTATACATAACCAGAAAAGAAATTGTTATAAATAAGCAACTAGTATGATAGAAGATGCTTAAGTTTGGGGACTACTTGAAATGTTCCTATAACTACCAGCTATACTCAAAAAGCATCAGTTGTCATTAAATTAATTCCTTTTACTACCTCAAATGAATTATAATTGTGTGCCTTTTCATTTTTCTGTTCAGTGAAAAATTTATACCTCACTATTAAATATTCTTAATACAGGTATTTTTTCAGTGACACTTAACTTCCATTATAAAAGGTTGAATGTACAGTTTTTCTAGATATGGTGGTGACAGTGTCCACTTCCGTGTAATCTTGTATTTGGCCCTTTCCTTTCAGAGACAATTGTGTATACATTTGGACTCGGGCAGTTTGGTCAGCTGGGTCTTGGCACTTTTATTTTTGAAACTTCAGAACCCAAAGCCATCGAATATATTAAAGATCACAAAATAAGTTCTATTTCCTGTGGAGAAAATCACACAGCTTTGATAACAGGTATGGGTTAGAATTTATTTTATGTATTTGTGGAACTGGGTACATTTTGTTACAAAAGTCATAACATATGGGCTGAATGTATCTAAGTCAAGGAATTAATGACTGAGAAAAATGGAATTCCTTGTAAACATTCCAAAGTATAAACTTGTAAATGCCTTTTATTGTTTTAATTAAGTTTTTTAGATTCATTTTTATTTATTTGAAAGGCACAGTTAGAGAGAAAGAGGTAGAAACAGATCTTCCATCAGCTGGCTCATTCTCTAGATGGCTGCAACTGCTAGGGCTGGACCAGACCGAAGCTAGGAGCCAGCAGCTTCTTCTAGGTCTCCCACATAGGTGCAGGGCACCAAGCACTTGGGCCATTTTCCACTGCTTTCCCAGGCACATTAACAGGGAGTGGGGTTGGAAGTGGAGCCGCCAGAACTGAAACTGGCACCCAAAAGGGATGTCGACATTGCAGGGGCAGCTTTACCTGCTATGCCACTACACCAGCCCCTTTAATTCAACTTAAAGTAAGTGTTAATGGTCCAAAGATTTAGAACTTCAAAATAGGCCATGTTTTCAGAATTAAAGCCATAATACTATATTTTTAGAGAAATCTGGAATCCTTTTGAAACTGTAACAGTTTGAAGCTCTTAACTCTACTCAGGCCATAGGGGAGAATCCCACAAGAAAGAATTTATTTTAAAACATTGTTCATGTTCAATTTGACAGTGACATTCAAGATGAGTAAATTATGATGCTTTTGCCACCAGGAGATGTTTTCAAAAATGACTCATCCTTTCTGTTTCCAGAATGAGACAGAGAAAGGCGCCTCAAAGACCTTCTCTCTGTGGATACCTTCTCTCTGTGGCTTCTGTATTCACGGAGATGTTTCTTTGGACCTACTTCTCAGCTTCAGAAACTGGTGCTGCTAATAATGTAGGACTTTATGGAGAGTCTGTCCTAAAGTGATTCAGTCATGCTCATCTCATGCCTGTCACCCCTTTGGCTTCAGGCATATTGGCTGTTTTTCAGCTTCTTAACCATGTTTTCTCTTGATTGAGAGCCCTCTTGTGTATGCCCTTCTATGTACTGCTAACTCTCTATAGAAAATTCTTTGCTCTCATCTTCTTGCTGCTGAATCTTACCCACCCTTTAAGTTTCAGTTTGAAAGCCTTCCTTAATCCCAGACTGGAGGAACATCTCCCTCATCTGTGTCCATGTGGGCACCCATTACTTCTGCTCCTGTGGCACTTACCCCAGCTGAGATGGAGAGTATAAAAGAAGGGCTTGAAACAAGAAATGAAGGTTCAGAATAGCTTCTATGGCAGTGGTAAAAAAGGGTTGACTGGAGAGAAGTAATGAGGTTACTCATCATCATTGTGAGACCAGCCATGGACAGTACCCGGATATTAGTATGGGGACTAATCAGCATGGTTAGTTTATGACCTTTTCTTTGCAGGTGTTTCATAGCTCAGCAGCCGAATTAATAAAAAGACAGATTTTTCTAAGCCAGTAGTTCTCTACCAGTGGCAATTTTGTCCTCTTAGGAGACACATGCCATATCTGGAGACATTTATAATTATCACAACTGCAGAGGGGGGTTATTCTACTGGCACATAGTGAGTAGAGGCCAGGGATGCTGCTAAAAATTCTACAATGCAAATGATAGAGCACACATCCAGAAATTATCTGACTCCAAATGTGAGCAGTGCCAAGGTTGAGAAATGAATCTGTCAAAGATCTGAGAAAAGGGATTGACGCTGTGGTGCTGTGGGTTAAGCTGCTCTCTGCAACACCTAGGTATCCCATAAGGATGCCAGATCGAGTCTTGACTGCTCCACTTTCTTTTGTGTGTATGTGTGTGTGTGTGTGTGTGTTTAAAGATTTATTTATTTGATAGGCAGAGTTACAGAGAGGCAGAGGCAGAGAGAGAGAGAGTCTTCCATCTGCTGGTTTACGTCCCAAATGGCCACCGCAGCCAGAGCTGGGCTGATCCGAAGCCAGGAGCCAGGAGCTTCTTCTGGGTCTCCCCTGGGGGCACAGGGGCCCAAGGACTTTGACCATCTTCCACTGCTTTCCTAGGCTGTAGCAGAGAGCTAGATCGGAAGAGGAACAGCCGAGACTCGAACTGGCACCCACATGGGATGCTGGCACCACTGGCGGCACCTTTACCTGCTATGCCATAGCACTGGCCCTGCTCCACTTTGAATCCAGCTCCCTGCTAACTTGACTGGGAAAACAATGGAAGATGACCCAAGTGCTTGGGTCCCTGCACCCTTGTGGAAGACCAAATGTAGCTCCTGGCTCCTGGCTTTGGCCTGGTACAATCCTGGCTGTTGTGGCCATTTGGGGAGTGAATGAGCAGATGAAAGATTCTATCTCTCTCTCTCTCTCTCTCTGCCTCTCCCTCTCTCTCTGCCTTTCAAATAAGTGAAATAAATCTTGGAAAAAAAAAACCTTAGAAAACAAGAAACTATATGCATTAGGATGTCAGGAATCAGAATATAAGTATCTCCTTTGCCTTGAGAATATGGTGTGTACCACAAAATCTCATAATGTATTGCTGCTGCTCCGTATAGTACTTTGCACAAAAGGGCTTCAATTTCACAGACCACCAAAGATTAGTGATTTTTTGTCAGAGTACTATTATATAATATTATATGCAGAACCAGAGAGCCCATAGAGAGTGTGGAAAGATCAGTGGATCATTAGTAAATTCAGTGCAGAATTTGAGGGGAAAATTATAATTGTGGTATAACATATATTGTATACAAAGAAATCCATGCAAGTAACACTTTTATAATTCTCTTCATTTTTTGCATTTTAGAACTAGGCCGTATGTATACTTTTGGAGATGGCCGATATGGAAAATTAGGACTTGGACTAGAGAATTTTACTAATCAATTCGTTCCTACTTTGTGCTGTGATTTTTTGAGATTTATGATTCAGTTGGTAAGGGGATTGCATTTCCCTGTTTATATTTTCATATTGCTTTATTTGTCTTTTAATATTTCATAGAAAATAAGTATTTTTATGTTTGTATGAAAGAATGTCATGGATATATCTAATAAATATACTAAAAATCCAGACGTCAGACATTTTACTACTTAAAAATATGTCCCTTTCCTAACTTTCTTCCTTAACCCATTATACCCCATCATCCTATCTATATGGCACCTTTAAAGACCAAATTTGAACAGTACTTACCACTTATGGTAACTTTGAAATAAATACTTTATCATTGAAATATTCAAATAATTGAAAACTTGGGACTTAATGGGTTCAACACCTTTCTGTCCAAATTTTGATTAATCTGCTTTGTTCTCCTATGTCTCTTTAAAGCCTGGACTATGCCTATACCCTTTGTATCTTGTGTATTACCCAACAGATCTTCCTTACTTGCTATAGTTTTCAGTAAATAATTGTGGAGCTAAATGTTACTTGGTTAAATCCTACACATGAGAAAAATATGACAATACAGTTTTGAGAATATATTTCATTGGCTAAATGTTTGGATAAGAATATATGACTTCAGTGTTACATCACCATTGGGCATCATGTATCTATTGTTTCTAATAACTTTTGCCAGTTAAGAATGATAGATTTGTGAAAATTGTTTACTTGGGAATGGTAATTTCACTTAAACTTTGTTATTCAAAGATTCATTGTCTCTTAATATAAAACACAACCATTTAATGAAAGCCTGTTATACACAAGATGCTGGACTAAGTATTAGGAATGTAAAGTAGTCAGTGATTAAAAAATGATCAAGTCATCATTTATTTATGGGGACAATAATTTTTAAAAAGACATATGCAAAGATACATACAAATTTTAAATTTGAAAAGTTATTAGGAGAGGTGCTAGAATTGGTATATTGAAAATACTGTGTTATGTGTGTGTGTGTGTGTGTGTGTGTGTGTATAGAGAGAGTGTGGAGGTTGGGGGAAAGGAAGGGAGGGACAGCAAGTCAGTCAATCTAGGAAGTCTACCATTAAATAAACGTCTTGTGGCTGATAACTAAAAATATTTTTGTGTTTGAGGAAAATGTTGATTAACCTTGCTGTGAATTTGTGTTGCAGGTTGCTTGTGGTGGATGCCACATGGTAATTTTTGCTACTCCGCGACTTGGTTCGGCAAATGAATTTGTGTCAGATGAACCAAATTATTCTTACTTTCCTTTATCATCTTCTCTACATGTCAGAGATTGGATCTCAAGTAGTGTACTACATAGAAACTTATCAGCACGTGTGCGTCGAAGAGAGCGGGTACATTTGTGGCCTATTCTATATAATACTGTTGTCTACCACTGTAAAGAAAGCTTGAAGAAAATTCTGTTTTGTTTTTAAATCAACGAAGAGTATTTTCAGACAAAATTGCTAATAAAATATTTAGAATTGAGGGCTTTTAAACTTTAATGTGAATTCAGGGTTAAGCTCTTAAAGACACAAATTAGCAAATTCAAATGATCTTGAAAAAAACATTTGCTTGTAGACAACAGTACTATAACAAAATGTACTTTATAGACCATTCTTAACAACTCAGACTGAATGCTGAATTGTCTTTTCAATTATATGTGAGTTAACTTCTTTAACTTGTTATATCCTAAGAACACTTAACATAAGATCTAACACGTAACATATTTTTACATATGCAGTTCAATATTGCTAGCTATAGGATAGGTACCATATTATGTTTTACAGATGTTTACAGCATAACCATCTTATAGAATGCCACATTGTTTTATTTCATCTTTACACCTCATGAGCAATGGGAAATTAGAATATAAACAATGAAACATGGAAAACAAAGCAATAAAGACTTTGAGGGATGGAATTTCTCTCTCAATTAAATTTAGAGATTCTCCTGTGTTTCAAATTGTTGTTTCCATGACATATTTTTTTTAAAATTCCAGATAATATCCAAAGGAGACATTCCTTTTTTGAAAATTAAAGTAAGTTCTAAAGACATATTCCTTTTGAATTAATATGTTTAAGTCTGGCTTTTTATTATGAAAAAAATATGTGTGTGGAAAGGTTTAGAAATATCCCATCTGTGTTTTAAAGTTGTTTGTTTATATCTCATGATTAATTTTCTATTTTTCAGGGAAGGCAAAGAAAATGCAAATATACTTTTTCCCTATTATGTGAAGAGCAGGCTTTCAAACTGACAATTTAGAGCAACTAAGTGATAGAAACAACAGAATAAAACATTTCTGAGCCCTTGGGAATCATTAAGAAGTGAATGTTGTGGGATGTTAGAAAACTTTGAAGTCTTCTAAATATTTTAAGTTTATGCCAATATCAAACATATAACATCATTTGACCATTTATTTAACCTTCTTGTTTTAAAGGAGAGATCCCCAGATTGTATTCAAATGATGCAAACAGTACATCCAATAGAAGAGACTGACCCTGCATCTGGTAGTTTTCCCGTGAGTTTAGTTCCTTTCCATTTATCTCAGAATAACCAACCAGCGCAAACCAGATCTGGAAGGGGTGAGCCAAAGTTGCCAGGTAATATTTTCTGTTCTGCCTGCTCTCAGGAGATAAAAATATGCTTGCTATTCCTACTGTTTTCATGTTTTTCTTAAGATGTTTTCTCCAGTTAATTAAATTGTTCTTTCTCTAGTTAGAGCCTGACATCTCTCATTTGACTCGAAATCCTGGAATACCCTTCCATAAAGAAACCACAATCAGGCCTGCGCCGTGGCTCACTAGGCTAATCCTCCGCTTTGCAGCACCGGCACCCTGGGTTCTAGTCCCGGTCGGGGCGCCGGATTCTGTCCCGGTTGCCCCTCTTCCAGGCCAGCTCTCTGCTGTGGCCCGGGAGTGCAGTGGAGGATGGCCCAAGTCCTTGGGCCCTGCACCCCATGGGAGACCAGGAGAAGCATCTGGCTCCTGCCTGCGGATCAGCGCGATGCGCCGGCCGCGGTGGCCATTGGAGGGTGAACCAACAGTAAAAGGAAGACCTTTCTCTCTGTCTCTCTCTCTCACTGTCCACTCTGCCTGTCAAAAAAAAAAAAAAAGAAACCACAATTAGTGACCTTAAGAGTACTATAAAACCACAGAAATATGTCATTATAGAGCAATGGATAGGTTACGTAGCACCTTCCCCTAGATTATCTTCTCTAAAACCAGAAGCAACTCCATGAAATAGAAGGGAATTATACTCTTCATTTTACAGATGAAAAAAAGCAAGGCTTTCTCATAGAGTGTATAGCATAACAATTAAAATCATGGGGTATGGATGTCAGCTCTGACATTTACTATGTGACTAACTTTGAGAAAGTTACTTAATCTCTAGAAGCCTCAGTTTCCTTCTCTTTGAAATGAGTATAATATTGTCTATATCTGATAGTGATTGTGAGGATTAAATGAGATCAGACATATAAAATATAATTGCCTCTCCATATCTGTGCTTTCCATATCTATGGACTTAACCAATCTCAGAAAAAGAGTATTTAGAAAAATTGCATCTGTACTGAACATGTACTGACTTTTTTTCTTATCATTCTTCCCTAAATAATATAGCATATAAACTATTTACATAGCATTTATACTTTAATGGATATTATAATTAACGAGAGATTAGAGTATTCTGGATCATAGCATAGGTTATAATCAAATACTACACCTGTTTATATAAAGGACTTGAGCATCTGCAGTGGGGTCCTAGAACTAATCCCTGTGGAAACTAAGGGATGACTGTAATTAGCATTGAGCCTATCACCTCTAGAAATCTATTAATAAACAATTATGGTTAGTATTAACTCCTTGACTTCACAGCTTATTAGATATAGATTTTATGTTTTCAATGGTATTCCGAGCTCCTTTGCTGTTTTATACCACCTCTTCTAAATTTTGTGTACGGACATTTGTGTATCTTTGGAATGTCTACGTGTTACTGCAGGGCATGTGCTTAGATAGTACACATGGGGCAAGAAACCAGGACTGGGAAATCAGTATAAGCAACAGATTTGGAATTAAGAAGATAAATCCTGGCATCTGGCATTAGGGATTAAGAACCATGGCACAGATAATTTTAGTATCTTTTAGATCAGGAACTTAAGCAAAAAGTTGAGGCTTCAAAGGATTGGGAGCTTAGGCAAGACTTGTGGACCATGGAGATAGAATTTTAACTGTAACTAGGACTTTAATAAGCTATTCTCCCATATCTGACCCACAGATTTTGTGTATTTCCATTTGAAATAAGAGTCAGTGTCTAATGGTGCTATTCAGCCCTGGACATGGTAAAAATAGTAGATTATGGCAAGCAGTGTGTATAAGGAAAAGAGAAGTTTATGGTTGAGGAGTGTTGTTTTCCACTTTAAGAGACTTAATGTGAAGATATAAAAATGTTTATAGATAGATCAAAAGGAAAAGCTATCCCTTACTGGATTATTAGCTAAAACTCTGTTAATAAAAAGTATTTAAAAAGTTGTATTCAACATATGATCTATTTTGAAACTTGTATTCAACATATGATTTATTTTGAAGCTTGTATGCAGCATATGATGTGACTTTTTCTAAATAATTTTCAGACTTTAGTCTTTATAATGAAGAAAAGGGATCAGGGTAGGCCTTGCTGAGAATGTGTCTTATCAGGTAAAACATAAATGGTAAGAAGGAAATATCCACACAAAGTGAGAAAATAGACATTCCAGGCAAAGGAAATAATACAGGCAAAAGTTTGTAGTCTGTTTATAAGAAAAAGAAAGATTACCAGTGGGGCTAGAAAGTGAGGGGAAAGGCAAGAAAAGATTATGCTGGAGAGGGAGAATCTGAAAAATTATTCCTAGGTTTATAAGCAATGAGAGGCCTACTATATTTGAATATTTCCCTTAAGTGCAATAGAAAACAAAGGATTCTAAGCAGTGGACTGATGTAGTCCAGTCCAATTGGCATTTTAAAATAATCACTTTTGCCTCCAAGTAGATTGTAGGAAGGCCAGACTAGAGGTAGGAAAAATACTTGTGAGCCTTTTGGAAAGGATGACACCATGTGGACCAAGGTGTTTGTAATGCAGATAGAGAGACAGGGGTATATTTCAAACACATTTTAGACGTAGACTCAGGTGGACTTGCTGAATTTATTTAATGGATTATAAATAGATATGAAATAAAGAAAGAAATCAAAGATGATTCCTAAGTAAGAGGATGGTTGACAGGTTTGCGAAAGAAATTTAAGATCTGAGTCTGAGATCACTGTGAGACATCAAAGTGAAAGTAAAGTATCATTCAGGCAGTTGAAATTGCAGGCTTAAAGTTCAGAAGAGAGCTCTGGAACGACACAGCTAAATTTGGGAACTGTCAACACAGAGAGAGTATTTAAAATCCGTGGAAGTTGGGGGTCAATATTGTGGCGCAGCAGGTTAAGCTACCACTTGCGACACCAGTGTCCCATGTCAGAGGCTGGTTCAAGGCCCAGCAACTCTGCTTCTGATCCAGCTTCCTGTAATTGCACCTGGGAAGACAGAGGAAGATAACTCAAGTGCTTGGTCCCCTGCCACCAATGTGTGAGACTCAGGTGGAAGCCCCTGGCTTCGGCCTGGTTCAGCCCTGGCTGTTGTGACCATTTGGGGAATGAACCAGCAGATTGGAGCTCTCTCTGTCTCTGTCTCTGTCTCTGTCTCTCTGACACTGTGCCTTTCGAATAAATAGATGAATGTATAAAAAAACTACCGAGGTTGTTAAATAACCTGTTAGAGAGTAGGGTCCAAAGAGAAGAATATCCAGCATGTTGTCCTGTGTACATCTACCGAGAACAGGAGGAATAGCCACCCAAGAATCCATACTTGCTTCATCGACCAGTAAGATAGGAGGGAAATTGGAAGAGAGTGTCATGAATGGAAAGTATTGCTCCAGGATCAGATAGAAAGCTCATTTGGTATCATGGACATTGTTGATGATCCTGCAGAGGAAGATTAGAAGCCAGAGTATTAAAAAAATGTATGAATAGAGAATGTGAAAGAAGAGATAGGCTGTTTAAATGATTGTTTTGCATATTTGATCATGAAGTAGAACAGATAACTGGCCTGGCAGCTAAAAGGAGCTGTGGGGTCAATGTGAATTATTTTAAATATTTATTTATTTGAAAGACAAAGTTACAGAGAGGCAGAGGCAGAGAAAGAGAGAGGTCTTCCATCTGCTGGTTCACTCCCCAAATGTTCGCAACAGCTGAAGCTGCACAAATCTGAAGAAAGGAGCCAGGAGCTTCTTCTGGGTCTTCCACGTGGGTGCAGGGGCCCAAGGATTTGGGCTATCTTCTACTGCTTTCCCAGGCCATAGCAGAGAGCTAGATCGGAAGTGGAGCAGCCAGGACTTGAACCGGTGTCCATATGGGATGCTGTCACTGCAGGCAGCGGCTTTATCTGCTACGCCACAGTGCCGGCCCCAATGGGAATTTTTGAAGCACATTTTATCCTAGTAGAGATGTAGCAGTAGTCCAGGAGAGCTTGATAGCATAAGAGGATAGAACCAAAGGTGCAAAAATCTCCCAAAAGACAGGAGGGGCTAGTATTCAGAAAAGACTCTGGTAACAGAAAAGACACATCCTACATTTTATTTTATTTTTTAAATTGTTTTTAGAAAGCTTTTGTTTAATAAATAGATATTTCATAGGTACAGCTTTTGGAATATAGCAGTTCTTACCCCTATACCTGCTGTCTCACCCTCACTCCTGTCCTACTGCCTACTCGCTCATCCATCCCATTCTTCATTAAGATTCATTTTTAATTATCTATATATACAGAAGATCAATTCTATACTAAGATTTCAACAGTTTGTACCCACACAGACACACAAAGTATAAAGTACTGTTTGAAGACCTGTTTTACTGTTAATTCTCATAGTACAACTCATTAAGGACATAGGTCTTACATGGGGAGCAAGTGCACAGTGACTCCTGCTGTTGATTTAACAATTGACACTCTTATTTATGACATCAGTAATCACCTGAGGCTCTTCTCATGAACTTCCAAGGCTATGAAAGCCTCTTGAGTCCACAACCTCCGACCTTATTTAGACAAGGCCATAGTCAAAGTGGAAATTTTCTCCTCCCTTCAGAGAAAGGTACCTCCTTCTTTGATGGCCCCTTCTTTCCACTGGGATCTCACAGAGATCTTTCAAGTAGGTCATTTTTTGCTGTATTTCAAGCTTTCCATGCCTGAAGTGCTCTCATGGGCTTTTAAGCCAGATCTGAATGCCTTAACAGCTGATTCTGAGGCCAGAGTGCTGTTAGGGCATTAGTCATTGTATGAGTCTGCTGTGTGTCCTGCTTCCCATGTTGGACCATTCTCTCCTTTTTAATTCTATCAGTTGTTATTAGCAGACACTTGGTCTTATGTATGTGATCCCCTTGACTCTTAATCCTATCTTTATGATCAGTTATGAACTTAAACTGATCACTTTAACTAGTAAGATGGCATTGGTACCTGCTAACTTAATGGGATTTCGAATCCCATGGCAAGTTTTTAGCTTTACCCTTAGGGGTAAGTCTGAGGGAATGTGATCAAC